ATCATTAATAGCATGTAGAAGTCCACAGAAGCAATATTCTCTTATATCCCCATGTGCCTGGAAGACTCAAATCCAACTCACATCTTTTCCCAGCCTCATCTAGATCTCTGCTCTTTCAGTTAGGTGTATCTCTCCTTTAGATTATTCACCACCACATAGCTGTCATTTATCTTCTCTAGATTCTGTCTCTGCCTGTAAGGTAGCAAAGTGTGAGGTAATTTCCAAATATCCAATATATAGTCATATGGATGTTATTGTAAAACTTGGATTTTTTTATTGGATTTATTATTATGTACTTTATCTCATTGTTCCTAAAAAGAATATTTTAAAAGAATATTTTAAGACTGTTACTGACAGTGCTCAGAACACATGACTCTAAATATTGCAAGCTGAGTGAATTTGAAAAGCTCATAGAAGTGGAAAGATCTCTCTCCAGCATTCTCTTGCCATTCTTTTCAGACACAAGACCTTCCCTAGCAGCAGAGCATATGACCTTCAAGTGAGACATGCCATCCCCACTATAAAAGGAAAAGAATGATGCTATGTCTGAAGATGATGAGTCACATAAAAGAATACAAACATGTCATTTTTCTTCTAGCATCTCACTGTTAGGCCATATTTTTATCCAGTCATACTTCTTCATTATTATCTTTTTCTTTATCTAACATTGCACAAGATTACCCAGCTTTACTCATTTCTTTATGTTATTTTCCTATGAAAGTCCTTATGTTGTATAAAACTTATGATAAGTAAATATGTGTGTTTTACTCTTCTTAATCTGTCTTCTCTTATAGAGGCCTCTGACTTGCATAGAAAATACAGTATCCACAGATCTAATTTTATGAATATGAGAAAGAAAATAATACTACACCATGTGCTGAAGTGCTGTCTTAGGTAGACTTTCATATCATTGAGACAAAATACCTGACACAATCAACTTAAAGGAGTAAAAATGCATTTGGTTCAGATTTTCAGTGGGTTTTGTCCATAGTCATTTCACTTCCAGCTTCTAGGCTTCTAGTGAGGCAACACATCACAAAGAAAGATGTGACAGAGGAAAGCTTCTTACCTCATGGAAGCCAGGAAGCAGAGGGAAGAGAAAGGGAAATTAAACGGTACATCTTTCAAGAGAACACCTACTTCCTCCAAGTAACCTCTCCTGCTTTCCATCACTTCCCAATGAGGTCATCATATAATGAAGGGATTTAATCCACTGATTAGGCCAGAAACCTCTGAACAAATCAATTCCCAGTAGCCCAGCAGCTGGCAAAAAGAAAAAAAAAAAGCTCCATTACACTAGACTACAAGGGACATTCATATTCAAACTGTAACACGTTCTTTATGATAAGTAGAAATGGCAACTTTCACAAGTCTTAAAAAAAGAAATTTAAATGTTTTTTTTTATTCTTAGAAGTCTTCTGCCTATAGTCCAGAACTTGTCTCACAACATATATTAAAAATATTCAATTTCCTTTTTACTATAATTGCCAATTAAAATTATCTGGGGAAAAGAAGACATTAACTTGCTTCATTTTCCATCCCAATTAGCTTAAAGGAACTCAATTTTCAATTGCACAGTTCCCTAGTACTTCTTTTCAATGATAACAGAGAAACACTGTACCACAGCTGTGATGACACAGCTGTCAATCATACTCTTCTTCCTCTTATTTTAAAAGAAATACTAGGTACTTAATTTTTTGTCTGACCTTGCAAGAGATCACATATTCATTAAATGTTACCAAAGTGATCATTGCATTTTATAATATGCATCAATTATATATGAAAGTATATTTCATATATGCACATATCCATCTACATATACATATACACACAGCTACTCTTACTTTTCTTACATGATTTAGAAGAGAACAAATGAGTGTAAAATGAAGGTTTCCCTAATATAATTTACTCCAGTGGGTTATATAATATTGATATTGGTCTCCCACACATTTAAGAAAAGAGGGCAGGAATTGCAATGGCTATATCTGAGAAGCTGTTACCATAACAATAGCTAACCTTTCTCTTTTATTTTATATGACCACATTCTTTAATCATTCATATTCATGCCCATTAAACACAAAAATGTTTGAGAAGAATCCACGATTCATATACCATCTTCTTCATCTAAATTTTCTCTAATTTTTGATTCTCTATTTCATTGCCTTGCTTCACCATCCACAAAAAAATAAATTATACATAATCTTCTCATCTCTTGTCACCTTCTAATTACTATTTAGCTTTTCTCCAATTAGCCCCTTGTAATTTGATTTTGTTTATTGTGAAAATACCGCACAGAGGGGTTACAATTACATGGGCAAGATATTAAGTACATTTGTTATCAAGCATTGTTGCCTTCTCCTTTGTTTCCCCTTCCCATCTCTTCCCATCTCTCCCCACCCTAATCCACCCCAACCCCCCAAACCCCATCCCCCACGCCCCCGCACCAAAGTTGTAAAGTTTATTTTTCGACATATCATCTTGTACATCTCATTGTTGCATTGGGTCCTCCCCCTCCACAAATTATACCTACATCAAATACAGTGACAACGGGTTATATCGTGGTGGAGGGACATACAAAGCAACAAAGAAATATCTTATAAATATGTTAGAAACAATAACAAGAAAGAAAAAACATTTTATTCCTTATCTTGGGGGAATGACATTGTCCCATTTGTTAAGAAATGGAAAGACTTGGAAAAAATTATATTAAGTGAAGTAAACCAGGCCCAAAGAAACATAAGGTCCCATGGTTTCCCTTATTTGCAATAACTAGTATATGTCTGACACAAGCAGAATCCATCAGATAAGTTGATGTTAGATGAAATGAACCCCAAATAGTCCCTGTATATCCATATGCCTTCCATTTTCATACTCTAGATCCATCTTTATCCTCTAGTGTACTAAATGGTCCTCTGCATTTTTTTGTCAATTTTAAAATCATTCTCCATGGTACCACCACTACAACATTCTAAAAGTATCTCCATATAATTAGCCTGGCAGAAATGGTTGTTATGATCATATGTCTGATACCATAACACACTCAAACCTTCATAGAAGAACAGACAAAAAGGAGTAATAACTCCATTTCATGGAAATTAAACCAATTCATGGAATTCTCACCAAGATTTAATTCACAAGTAATCCCTTGTCCATTAATGTTTACGCACAAAAAAAGTTATTCAAAATCCAGGAAATGTGACTATCTGAGAAACTTGCTTTCACTTAGGAGTTTGTAGTTTCACTCTATCATAAAAGTTCTTCCCAATTCCTTACCTTTTTTAATTCTGTATTCTTTTTTATGGTGACAAAAATCTGTAAACACAGGGTAAAGGTTTCAGTCTGTTCTTTCTATCTGTGAGACTTCTCCAGCCTCCTCTACTGGTAACAAAGGGACTTCAGGAACTTTCATGTTTTCAGTCAAAATAATTTTATATCAAAGTGGCTTGCTCCAGAATGCTCTATCCCAATACCATTGTTATTTCCAACATTGCAAATTTTTTAAAGCTTTTACAGTTTTGACTCACCAACATCTTCAAAAAAATCCTTCAATGGATCTCTAACACCTGTACTCAAGTCTTTGAATTTTCAAAAAGGGCATTACAAAAATGCTGAATGAAAACAACAAGAAAGCAAAATCCATCAAAGTCACTTTAAGTACTTTTAAGCTTTAAAAAAAATGATACCTGCTAAACTCTCTTAAATGTGTGAAGTAGACTTGGTACAATTATACCAAAATATAGCCTCTTAATATTTAAGAAATTACCTTCTTCTCAAATATTCTCTCCTAGACCAAATCATAAAGTTTAGCTGCCCATCCTGTGAAATTGATTCTAATATGTTCAAGGGAGAAGTTCTCAATCCATTGCCAGAAAAAGGAACAGGTTAAGGGAAGAGTCTCAACAGTAGACCTGCTAAAATTTCTCTGCTAAAATTTATTATTACACAATTACTAGAAAGTTATTACAAAGGCCTAGCAAGAATTCAGGTAAGATGAAATGTGATGAAAGTGATGTTAGAAAAGAAATACAACAGAGAAAGTAGATCCCATGGCATGATGTCAAGGGGGAAAAAAGGCACTTTAGTTAATCTTCAGCAATCTTTAGAGTATGGACATGATCATTGCATTTAAATGGAGGAAGAATTAGAGGCAGGGAACAAAGGTATGCATAGTTCATCATGGGAAGCATCCCATGAGATGATTTCTACTGCTTCCAGGTGGAAGTTGAACATTTTAAATAATATATTCCTTTGGAGATGATCTGTCCTGCAAGGTTCTGCTGTTCCTTAGGGCGGTCTTTACTATAAAGATACTATCAATCTATCTTGTCCCTCCTGGAACCCAACGTGATCACTAAATGACTATAGAGAGTATGGCTTAGAACAATGACAAATACAAAATGGAAGCAGAGAAGCTTTTCTCCTGTTTCTAGTTAATTTGTGGAAGCAAAACTAGTTTGAAGTGCCTGTAAACAACATGTTTTTAATAAACTGAAAGTAGACTGTGTCTCTGGTGAGAACACGTAAGCTTTTGGTTTAAGTACTTACTGAGATTGTCTGTGAGAAATTCCTAGTCTTAGCTCCAGCTACCAAACAGAGGTTACTTGTAAATTGTGAGGTTTTAATTATGGAATTTTTCTTAACAACTTTGTATTCTCCTCCTCCATTTGAGGTTCAATTGCATCCCCTCTTCACTCATAGCTAGCTGCTAACGACCAATGCCCTTTCGTTCAATTATACAATTCACAACAATTTCATCAAAATGAACATAAAAATATACATATTCTGTTTCTTTTGGTCTACATTTCTTTATGAGAGTTCCTATATCCCATAAAACTTGCTTTAAGGAGATTAATATGTTTTCTCTTGATAATTTCTTTTATTAGAGTAAGCTTAATCAGTGAACTGACTCTAGTAATGAATGAAATATCTTTCTTCTCCCCTTCCATGAATAAAGTAAATTTAAGAAATATCAATTCAAGGCATTGAAAATGTTTTCTTACCTTAAAAATGGAGCAGATTCCATGTACTTATACTGGCAAAGACAAAGGTACAGAATAAATATACTATAAACTAGATGGTGGAAAGAAGAAGCTAAAGAGCTCAGAGCATGTAGAGATTTGCATCTTAGCTAAATCAATCTGTGAAGGATAATAACAGGAAACTGAATGTTCTTACATCAATGCCTCACTGAAAAATATATCCAGTTCATTGATAAAATGAAGCAGAAAGGGGCCGGGCGCCGGTGGCTCACGACTGTAATCCTAGCTACTCAGGAGGCTGAGATCTGAGAATCGCGGTTCAAAGCCAGCCCGGGCAGGAGAGACCATGAGACTCTTATCTCCAATAAACCACTAGAAAACCGGAAGTGGCGCTGTAGCTCAAGTGGTAGAGTGCTCGCCTTGAGCTGAAGAGCTGAGGGACAGCACCCAGGCCCAGAATTCAAGCCCCATGACCAAAAAAAAAAAAAAAAAAAAATGAAGCAGAAAGGATAAAAAAATACCTTTTCTAATTTATACATCAAAATCTTAACTATAAGAGTGAGCTAAAAGAAAAGAGTCATTTCAAAAAGCACATAAAGTGACTTTCTTATTTGTGTTATCACTAATTATCACTCTATTATATTTTATTTCACATCATTTAGTCTAACAGAGAAAGGAGAAATGTTAGAAGATCAAAATATGATCCATATTAAGTATTATCTGCATAATGATTAACTTCAGGTTTATAAGAAAGGAGTTCTAACAAAAGAAAAGAGAAAAAGAAATACAAGAAAAAATACAACAACCATCATTCCCCTCAGTTTGACTATACTTCAGGTGGTCGTCCTGACTTGGGGCCATAATCTTCCTTTTCTAAGAGCATTTTCTTTAGGAAATGTCCAATTGTCAATGCAGGCTCTGCCTCTTTGTGTGGTTTGTAAGGAAAACCTCTTGCCCAGTGCAGAACCAGAAACATTTTTTCAAGGACCTGGAAGTCATCACTCTTAGATAATAATCATCTAGGAAAATAATGCCTTACTTTTGGTCCCTGTGGGAGACAAGAATCTAAGTTCTTCAATAAGCCTAAGTGTCAATTAGCCAACTCAGCATAGCTCTAAAGAGATACGTTAGAATATTCAAGAAATAATTTAATAAGATTGGTACATACTCTTGGTCACTGATTCAGCCCTCTACCTGTCTGCTTCCCTAACACTTTCTAGTGTTCCTTTAGTAGCATCTCCGAAGCTTAATTACTCCAGTGCCCTCTGTAGTGACTTCAGATTTAGTCCTAGTTTTTCTCACATATTCCAGCATTCTTTTTTTTAATTATGAAAATACCATACAGAGGGGTTACAATTACATGAGTAAGATAATGAGTACATTTCTTATCAAGCATTGTTGCCTCCTCTTTTGTTTCCCCTTCCCATCCCTTCTCATCTCCCCCGCCCCACTCCCTCCCCTCTCCCCTGCCAAAGTTGTAAAGTTCGTTTTTCGACATAAGGACTGTACATCTCATTGTTGCGATGGGTCCACCTGTATCCCTATTTAAGCTATTTGAATAATGTCTTCTTCACTGGATTACCATTATGACTTTGTCCAGTTCAATTTTTGCTTCAAGAGAATAATGCTAAAAATTCTTAAGATCTCCACAGCAAGGGTCTATGAGTATGGCTCAGTAGTAGAGCACTGCCTAGGATTTGGGAAGCCCTGAGTTTTATCCTCAGCACTGAAATTAATCTCTGCAGAAAAATAATGATAATAAGATTGAAGAGGACATAAATTATTTAATCACTTTCACATTCTAGAAAGTTCTTGTTGATTCTACATAGTAGAAATATATCTATGTAGGTGTCTATAAATAAAATGAAATAATTTATGTCTACATAAATATATAAACAAGTTTCATTGCGTCTGTAATTGAAGTAGTCGTCACAATTCTTTACTGGAAACAGAAATAAAATATGAAGGATGCAGGTTATAAACAACAATTTATTTACTTAATCTGTTATTATATATTACAGAAAGCTTTCCATTTTGCCTTTTATATTATTCCAGATAATAAAATTCCCCTGTGGTTTCTGTGCAAATGCCTAATTACAATAAAGTAAGTCTAAAACCTTCATCATTATTTCCAAAACCAATATAATCCTCAAAATAAAACCAAAGATCAATTGTCAAATTATTTTTATAAAAATACTATATTGCCCCATATCTAAGAGAGTGTCTTAACTTGCTTCACTCAGAATACATTTAATTTAAAAATATTTTAAAGCAAATGTAATTCTTTATAGTCATAATAACTGAGAGGGTATTTATATAGACTATATATTTAAATATTTTACTAGCAATTGGCCATAGATACAAATTCTGCAGAAAATTGTGAAAAATTAAGTTTAATGGGCAAAGTGACTCATACCTGTAAGAACAGGTCCTCAGGAGCTAGAAATCAGTAGGATCTCAGTTTAAGAATATGCAGGGATTAAAAAAAATCAGCAAGACTATTGATATCACCTAGGATCTTGTTAATTTTCTCTGCCAATTAAAGAATTGAAAAGGCAGGAACATATTTAAAGCAGACAGAGCAGTTTATTTAAAAGAGAAAGTAGTCAAATAGAATATGAAGAGAGGGGAACCCAGAGCTGAGTATCTACAATGTCTTTGCCTGGGCCCACCAGATATGTGGTCCCCAATTCTCTCTCCCTAGGAAAGCACATCTTTGGTGTGACCTTCTGATTTGGAGACTTCAGATTGGAGACTTCAGATGGGATCGCCCGCCCCAGAGCAGAAGTGAGGGCTGCCCTTTCATCTTGCCTTTCATAAAGAGCTTCATCAAAGTTCTTAGCATAAAATTGATTAGAAATAGTTGCTATAAAAGAATGAGGAGAGTGAGGGTAGAGGAGGAGGAGTGGAAGGAGGTAAAGGAAGGGGAGAAGCAGGAGGAGGAAGAAGAAAAATACATTTGGACATAATAAATTATACGGGACTCTAAATATTTGCACAGTGAGACCAAAGGAGGATATTCTTAGGAAAGAATCACAAAGACTCAATAGCTATGTTCATATGGTCATATAAAATTATGTTTATGAGCTGGTGTCCTGTAATCCTAGCTACTCAGGAGGCTGAGATCTGAGGATCCTGGTTCAAAGCCATCCAGGACAGGAAAGTCCGGGAGACTCTTATCTCCAATAAACCATCAGAAAACTGGAAGTGGTACTATGGCTCAAGTGGTAGAGCGTTCACCTTAAGCTGAAGAGCTCAGGGGAAAGAAGAAAGAAAAAGAAAGAAAGAAAGAAAGAAAGAAAGAAAGAAAGAAAGAAAGAAAGAAAGAAAGAAAGAAAGAAAGAAAGAAAGAAAGAAAGAAAGAAAGAAAGAAAGAAAGAAAGAAAGAAAGAAAGAAAGGAAAGAAAGAAAGAAAGAAAGGAAAGAAAGAAAGAAAGAGAGAGAGAGAAAGAAAGAAAGAGAGAGAGAGAAAGAAAGAAAGAGAGAAAGAGAAAGAAAGAGAAAAAGAGAGAAAGAGAGAAAGAAAGAAAGAAAGAGAGAGAGAGAGAAAGAAAGAAAGAGAGAAAGAGAGAAAGAAAGAGAGAAAGAAAGAAAGAAAGAGAGAAAGAAAGAGAGAAAGAAAGAGAGAAAGAAGAAAGAGAGAAAGAAAGAAAGAATGAGAGAAAGAAAGAAAGAAAGAGAGAGAGAGAAAGAGAGAGAGAGAAAGAAAGAAAGAGAGAAAGAGAGAGAGAAAGAAAGAAAGAGAGAAAGAAAGAGAGAAAGAAAGAAAGAAAGAAAGAAAGAAAGAAAGAAAGAAAGAAAGAAAGAAAGAAAGAAAGAAAGAAAGAAAGAAAGAAAGAAAGAAAGAAATTATGGAAATGAACTCCAAGAAACAGAAACAAGACAGGTTTTTGTTATTTTGGTTTTTTGTTTGTTTTTCTTTTCTCTTTTGTTGATGTTTTTATTTACTGTACCTTTTGTCTTGTATGTAAGTTTATCTATTTGGGGAAAGATAAAGGGAGCACAGAAATGGTGGGACAAAGGGTGAAAATATGCAGTAGCAATACTCATGTTGAAAATGAGCTACACAATTTATGGGGAGTGCCGTCAAGAGGGGAAAACCTGGGAGAAAACAAGGGAAGAGGTGACATTGTCTAACAAGAAACGTACTCATTACCTGACTTATGTAACTGTAACCCCTCCGTACATCACCTTTATAATAACAATAAAAAGACACTATATGAAAGGCAAACCAAATGTATATTCTATCTTCTCTTAAGGTTCTGAATGCCTATCAATTAGTAAGAATTACGATTTCTGCAGCTAACTTCAGGACACACTCTGTCAAACTTATCCGAGTCTTATGTTAGAGAGAGCGTGAGTTAGGTCAGCATGTGGAAGCAAAGTATGACATAATCTTGAATAGCACTATGAGAGAAGGTATCTGAAAGACCCAGTTGGCACTAACTTCTTGGCCAAGCCTACAGTTTGAGAGTTTGACATTCTGCCCTGTCCCCTAAGCCTGTCAGCTTGACAGCCTTTCTGTCTCACCTTCTTGAATGCTTGCTTCTTTCAGTAAGCCACATGCTCTGTAGGTGAAGCTGTGTGGTAAAAGAAATATACTCTCCTTTTCCAGCTGTTCAGCTATTTCAATAGATACCTTAACAAAGTAGAATATAATGTCAAAGAAAGAGAGGGAAAGGAGATATGGAAGAAGTGTAGTAATAATGGAAGGGAATTTCTTCCATCACAGTCTAAGTTTGTCCTGGAACTTGAAACTTACTTAGTCTGATTGAGCTTTCAAAGGTACAATGGCTCTTGATTATCCATGATTTCACCTTCTTCAGGTTCAGTTACCCACTGTCAAACCAGGGTTCAAAAATATTTGTAAAAAACTGCAAAAGAAAAAGAAAAAATAATAACTTTTAAATAGTACACCATTCTGAGTACTGTCATGCAATCTCATGCTGGGTTTTCTACCTTACTTGAAAATAAAATAATTTCATCTGTCCTGAATATACTAGCCAGACTACACACCAATGCCCACTTTATAGGGTTATTAAACCACAACCCATGCCAAAATGGACAATTCAGATGTGTCA